GACGAAGTGCGCGTGCGATCGTACCGAAATATTCATGGCGTTATAAATGTACGACGGAAATGTATGTACGGACCGCCGCAGACGGATGAGGCGAGAAACACATACGGGGATAGTCCCCGAGAAGGACCCTAGGTCTATCGGTGCTAGGACCCTCCGAGCAAAATGCGTAGGGAGTGTACATGGGGGTGCGCTTTCTCTCGTGCGTTCTGGGAAAATCGATCCTCGCACAAACTCTCCGTTCGGGACGGACATCTTCGTTCCGGACCGGCGAGGAAGAGGAGGAGAATCCCTCCACAAACGCGCTTTCGATCGAAGAACGTCTTGAGGCGTTCGATCCCGAGTATCTCGTGCTTCGCTGCTCTCCGACGCGGAGTTTTTTGTTAATCCTAGTTGAGTAACGTGGAGTGTAATAGATCTTGGAGAACTTTAGCGATACTTAAAGCGGGATATGACAGGAATTTAGTACTTTATTCCGAAGTGAAGTTTTTATCAAGTACGGAGAAAAATGCGTCTCGGTAGATACATGTTACTATAAACATCCTACGTTACGTAATTGATTTGTCAAAGTGAGTTTTGCGCGCAGAAGCATTGATTAAATAATAAACGTTAGAAAATTCTTTGTAGCGATAAAAAAATCATCAGTATAAAAAATGTAATCTCTATTTCATACAAAGAAAAAAATATATATTTGTAATTTTTATTTATCATTATGAATTATTTCACTTCTAAATATATATTTATATTTTCTTATAGTTTTAATGTAAGGGATAGCTCTGATATATATGCGCCATATCTATTAAAAAAATTTATTTATCAAGTATATTATTTACGTCAAAGACAAATAAACTTTACTACAATAGAATCTTCATACTGTTCTTTACAATAAAAATCATTACAAATACAAAATTTGTTTTTTCTTTAAAAAATCTTTGCTTTTGTTATATATTCTATGAAGGTAGTAATTTATAATACAGTTACTAAAACGTTTCTTAGAAATTCATAAATAAAAGTTGCAGAAGAATAAAAATCCGAATTAAATATTAACATATATATGTATATATGTATAAACAACTCTATTAATTATAAATAAAATCAAAAAATAGGACTTTGAGAGCCATTCGAATTTTCTGTGTGCATTAATTTACACGTTAAAAATATATTTTGTATTACATCTAGTGTTTGGTTTTTTCAAAATCCTATTTCTTGATTTCGTTTGTTTTTTATGCTATATGTTATTCTTTAACTCTATCCCATAGTTACATATCGTATAAAATAACTATAAAATCTTTCACAAATCTTACAATCATTTTATATATTATATACATAATAAATGATTATTTTTATCACGAATCGAGAAAATTTATGATACTTTTGTTAAAATAATAAAAAGCTGAAATCATAACACAATAGTAATATAACATAAAGACACGTAACAAAGTGGTTGCGCGTAAATTATCTTTATTATTATTATTTTTTTTTTTAATTCTGATCTATGTAAAACTTGGCGCAGATATATTGGAGTTACCCTATTGTGTTTCGACGACGATTGTTTCTCGTTTGTTTCGGTATCATCATTTTAGCGTAAATGATGATACCAAACAAACAGTTAAATGGCGATTCAAGAGATACGACATCAATAATGTATAGAATCGAATGGTAGTTTAAACAGGGATAATCACGAGAAGATTATCCGTATCGATCAACCGAAAATATTTTGCCTAATTAATTTGTAATTTAATTAGGATTGTATGTAGTCAACCGATAACATCGATAGACACGCATCGCGACGCGAGAAAAAATTTGTCGTACGCTTCTATATGAAAAATCGATTGTTTACAACAAAAAATAATTTAATTCGATTGCGGGAAGAATAATTCGAGCGTTTTAATAAATTTCACATGTTCGATAGTGAGGGGACACCCTACCTCTTCCTTTGTCCTCTTTTCTTTCTCATTGCTATTCATACACTTACCGTCTGGTTGTTCGATATCTCGCGGGAAAGAAGAACGAAGGACGGCGAAGAGCCGGCCCATTTAAAGTCGCGCTTCCAATCTCAATTCAAGATCCAGATCTACATATACTGGGGCGAATCGTTTCGTATTACCGACTCGAACGTCTCGTTTATTTTCGAGCTTGCATGAAGCAGCAATGTCGAAAAGAATCGACATTCAATTTTAAGAGCGCATGAAAAATTTCCGAAAACAGAAAATTGAAAAGAATTTTCTATCCGTCAAATTTTTTTGCATTCGGAGTTGCAGCTGAGAATTTTAAAATAGAAGTTTCAGATCAAGTCAGAAATACTAACAGAAGTTTTAGGTCAGAAATAAACAAAATTGTCAATATATAAATTGCAAAGAATGTCGTTCAATTGAATTGAAACAAAATCAAGACGTACTCTTCGTCTCAAGTGATATTCGCAAATACATTTTTGGAAAGACGTTAATGTAATACGGATGTAAAAGTGAGTGGAATTTGAGCGAACAATAAAATTTTTGATAATGTACAAAAATAATTAATATTGGTCTAATTTTTGCTAGATCTAAGTTTTTATATTTTATATTTTTTAATTATTATAACTTGATTTTGATTTGATTGTTGTTAAATTGTATAATATTTGTTTATACATATACACATATATTAAATAGTGAAATTCGAAATAACGCGAGGAATATTAAAATAATTCGGAATTGTGCAGCGAAAAAAGAGGCGGCATTTCTTATACGTCGAAAAGTATAAAGTGCTTTGTGTGCTTTTTGTTTCGTCGAGAGCTAAACTGTATTGTTTGTACATTATGTTCTTAGCGTCGAGGTTAATTATGTTTTAATATTGTTTCCACAATACTTAATTATTCGTTTATGTTTCCGTGCTGAAAACTGCTCTCAACAGTCACGCATTCTACAGCTGTTAATGCTTTCGCTTGTATAAGTAGTATAAACGTATATGCCGCATTCATCGCTCGCATATATGCATCGTCGGCGCGATTCATTCGTCAAACGCAACGTAAAAAGACATTTATCACACATGCGTGTGATGCGTGTAAATATATACTTACATGTTGCGCGTGAGCTTACATCGCATGTATGAGTCTTAATGTTGCCTTAATTTACTATTGCGAGGCACGAGCGGAAGCGCCATCGATCCTGGATCAGCGAGCAATATTGATATAATATCTATTAAATCTACTATGTTGATATTTATTAAATTTATTATAATTGCATCAGAATTAAAAATTGAACAAATTAAATTTTACATAAATTTCAATCAAAGGAAAATCTAAACGTCTGTAATTTTGTAATAAAAACACCACTACATATAAAAATATTTATTGAGAAGAATTCTTGATTGTAAAACAATTTCTCTATTTGTCTGTATAAAAAAATTAATCAAAAATATTATTTACTAATCTGTTTCAAAGTTGAGAATAACATAGCTATATTCATTTTGATGCCGAGAAATTTCCTCTCTTTAGTTAATTACGAAGGAAGCAGCTTATCAGAGGGTGAGGATAACGTTCTCTTCAACGAGCCTTAAACACCGCAGTATCGCTTAAAAGTAATTGCCCCGTCGAGCAGCATCCCACGTTGCTCACAACTTTGACGCCCGGAAAAAATGAGACGGTAACAAGAAGTGGCTTCAGTTTAGTACGCGTCAGCTCTCAGCCGGAAGTCTGAAGCTCTAAACGCGTGATGCTCTACCAAGCCGTCTATGCATTTTGTTGATAACAAACTTTGCACTTTGTTACAAGAATTCAGATAGAGAGAGAGAGAGAGAGAGGAGGAAGGAAAAAAGAAAGAGATAGAAAGAAAGAGAGCACTGTCGATTATGCAGATAAACGCGACCATCGTCGTAGTTGTTAATAAACGCTAATTAACCCGGAAATTACCTCTTTTACACCCTCTTTGCAATGTTTTAATAAATATTTAAACACGTTATCCAGTGTTTTTTCTCTTTCGTAATTGCAAAAGATTTAAATTAAAAAAAAAAATACAAATTTGAAATTAAGCAAGTTCTTAAATTTGACAAAAAGGTGTAATAAGAAAAACATCGTAATAAAAATGTTAAATGTATAATACGTTAATAGTTGTTACTTGCCATATTTTTCATATTTTTACAAAAAAGGATAAAATCTTATTCGAACATGTATTTGACATCGCGAGAAAAGAAGAGACTAGAATTTAAAGAAAAAGTAAAACAGTCATCTGAAATGTAGATAAACAACATTGCTATCTTTTATCGTTGTGATCCAGGGTCGACGTGGGCGTTTCAATGCATACAGTGATAAAAAGAAACCAAAATTCCGTACAAGATACGTACACACAAACAGACACAGGTAAGTAAGGGTTAACCCATCGTGTAAACTCATCGTTAGATCGAAAAATATGAACAGAAATCAAAAAACACTATCTGTACACAGGATATATAGAGACAGACACGCAAGGGTTAACCCTGTAAAAACTCAACATAAAAAATATACTAAAACCAGAACCCCTTAATACATATAAATATTCAAAATTACTTCACAACATCGACAATCGCCTTTTACAAGAGTGCTAATATAATTGTACTCGTTCAATCATGTCACAACATTTTGTTCGAAATTCAATTTACGACAAAACTTGTCAAACAAGATCTCGTACACGTATTTACGATCACATGACGTGCGCGTTTGTGCATATCGCGATAGAAAATAATTAACAAAATTATTTACCGTGACATTAAAAGAAACTTATATACAAATATATTTTTCCAATGATTGATTTGAGTGAAAAATTTCTATGTGAAATAACACGACTTCTGCATAATCAACAATTGTAACAAGAACAAACAAAATTCTTCACACTGCACATGCAATTGAAAATTGTAATAATTACTCATTAAAAGAAGAACAACGTCGATTTTGTATGTCACAGACGCAGTTACGTGTACGATAAAAAAACGTTTACAAAAATATACACATGGATAGAGAAACTTCACAAATCGTATATTATAGTTGTACTTACCAACGCAGGGATTGCGATTCACCAACGAGAAGATCTTGTCACATCGTTTTTTTATGTGATTGTGCGGACAGATACAACCGAACATCGGCGATACTCGCAGCTGCATCCAGGACTCGTAACAAGCTTCTCTGGAAAATCAAAATATAAGATACAGTTATATACATGAAATACTTTATGCAATCTCACTCAATTGTTTTATTAAGTTACAGTTTTGTCTTACGTAATTAACGCAATTCTAATTAGTTATTATTACACACACATAAGACATTAAATATACATCTTTATAAATAATAAGCCGCAATAATAACGCACTAACTTCTAGAATGTTTTATCCTCTTGTGTGTTGTGCATTTACATGCAGAATGTCAAATCTCATTAACGAGTTATTGCGGCGCATTGTAATCGTGGCTTACTCGTAACACGGTGCTGTATAAATGTTATTAATTAATCGCGATGAATTCCCGCTTCGCCTATGGCTAGCGTAAATCTCGTGCGCACGCGCGGAGGATTAATGACTGGCCATCAAATATCGGCGTTTTGCCAAGTACGTCGACCTACATCTGAGCCCCAATAGCCGTTAATAAATATTAAAATACACAAACTCCGATATATTCACCCGGAGCGGAGCACTGCTGCCTTCGATATATTTCGCAATATTTTTGCGCGTGTGTCTGTATTCCAATAATCCACGGTAATTGCAAGACATTATCGACGCGATACATATCGGAGAATTTCAATACGTGCATAATTAGCGATTGCCATCGGTATGAGTTGTACTACAACACAGCTCGTAGAAATAATGATACGTCTTTAATAAACTCGACGAGATATACTTTTACTGCTTGCGATATATAATAGGCGAATAATTGAGCGGTATATGTAATTAAATTCTTGCTGTAATTGACAAAAGAGTAAAACAAGCTTCGCTATTTTCAATCGAGTTTGAGGAAAATATTATTATTGAAATTGTGCGATAAGTATTATTACGTGCAATAATATTTATTATACACTTTGAAGTATCTAAGTTCACATAGGGAGAGAGAGAGAAAGAGAGAGATATATATTAAATATGAAAATAATTTTACGTTGCATTATTACAAAAATAAATAGGCAAAAAGATAAATGATAAATTAGATTGTTCTCTCTTACTTCTGATAAAAGTGTTATTTTCTTAATCTTTTTCATTTTATCAGTTCAATTCACGCACACACACGTACAGATAACATACCAGGGGGAACTTCGTTCATCATAGCTGTAAATCGCAGTTCCTTTTTTCTGTCGCAGAAACTTTCGTTAGCTCTGGAAAGTCAATTGCGGTTACGGCGCGTCATATCTGGTGCGAGAACCTTGATCGAGAACTGAAACGTTACCTCTTTCTTTTCTTTTCTCGTCGAAGGTAACGCGAAAACTTTAGCGAGAGAGAGCTCCGGCCAATTGACTTTTGAACTTACACGGAAACACTTAACGGACTTTTCCTGCACACCAACATTCCGCTACAAAATACCAGCTCGCGATGCATCCTTCGATGATGCACAGAACAATTACGATATCTCGTTAACGCGATACAAACTAACTTGTTAACTTTTGTTTTATATAATCTTGCAAAAAGAAGATATATTTTAACGTGGAAAAATCCTTTACTGTTTATTTAAAATCAATTGTGCAATTTTTTACATAGACGTTAGCAGATCCAAGAATTTCAATTTAATTTTAAACTTTTTAAAGTTTAAATAATTGAGTTAAATTTGAGTATTGTTAATTTGTAAACTGGCTTAAACACAGATTAAATCCAAATTAAAATCCTTTGTCTTTTTTGTGTCTGCTTTAAAAAAATTCTGCACACACAATTAAAATATTTCGAGCAACTTTACTTTCTCAATGTTTCTATCTAAAATAATATTTTAAAATGTTTATGTGAGATGTAACAATTATACTAATAAATGTGTACTTTAATGTAAAAAATTTGTAGAATTATTCACGATGTTGAGTCAACATTAAACACTTGACCAAAGAGTTGGTCACTCTCGACGGGAATTAAAATAGTATAGACGAATAGCAAGCGAGAAATAGGGTAAGAGTATTTCGACGCGAATAAGACTCTCGAGCTCAAAATTATTTGGGTTAATGGCACACACGCTACGGTGAATTTCGCTCATCGAATTAGAGGTCAAAGGAGGCAAAAGCGAGCGGATGGTAAAGCTGAAACTGAAGAGACGACGAGAACGATGGAAGGAAGAGGGTGAGCGCATCAAAGAGCGCGAAGGTCCACGTAAGAACGAGAATGCAAGTCACGTTTCATTCCGCATCGCGTGATTTTGTTTGACCTCTCTGTTTCCTTCTTTTACGAGTCGCCGAATTATTTTTCACTTTATCGTGTTGCAAAAATATTTTATTGTTATCCATATTTTTACGTGAATTAAATAATGAAAAAAAAATTAGAAATCAATTTTGCATCATTATTCTGAAATTGAATCTTGCGAAACCTATACACATGGATTACGAGCGCTACGAGTAGATACGTTAGATATATCGAACGATTAGGAAGTTCTCGCACCTGAGGAAATCTTCGTGGCCATGATGGCCCTCGGATGTCACCGAGTACGATAATCTCATGCATAAATTAAATCGAAAGCGCAAAAAGAAGCGAGAACAGTTTTTTCCCAAGTAAACTTTATCCTATCGCGAAGATACAAACTTTGTGAATGACACGAAAAATCAGTACAACTTCTCTCGCGCGATCTTGTCAACTTTGATTGATTGATTGTCGATATAAATTTCGCGATGCTATATATTTAAAGAAAAAACTCCGCATTAAAATTGCATATTTGACATATTTTAAATGTAAAATTGATTGAAATATTTTCACTTGTGCATTCGGACAATTTTTTATACTTTATTATTTTGTACAAAAAATCTTTTTATTTTGTTTCGTTTGCCATCGTTATTTTGTTGCTATTATTTACTCGATCGCTTCGCTGCTATCAAATTCATATGGCAGCCGCGAGAGCTTCGCGCGAGCGGTGCGACAACGGCGCCACGCGAAGTTTCAGCGAAATTTCGCGACCCAGTGACCTGCGCTACGTTTACGCCATTGGCGTAAATAAATCGTGCCGCGGCAATATAAATGCGCATAACCGAAATAAGAAATACAAAGGAGAAATTCATGACTCTCATATAACGAAATCCCCCGAGCCGAGGATTCCATGTCTTATATATCCAATCGATAAATGGCATATTCGTTTCCGCTCCGTCGATCAAGGAAATCGTCTCGAAGAAAGTCCGCTTTCTTGAAACAATACCTTCCTCGATGTAAAACTAGCTTTTCTTCCCACACAAGATTTCTTTCGATCTAAAGTTTTTCAAATTTTGCAAAAAAAGAAAAACCGAGAGATTTGAAGTGTAAAATCTCAATCCATACAAGGATTATTATGTATCATGTAAGTGATACGAAATACCGCAATAATATTTTCTGTATCGTTATTTCGAAACTTTCAAAAATCCTAATTTTAATTAGTTTGTTTTTAATTAAACAACATATAGCACATTTAAATATTTAATCTAGTTTATTATTTGTTATAAATATTAGTTTCACATTTTAAAAAATGCGTAGAAGAAAAGAAAGTATAAAACACGATTGATTATATGTAATGTAGTTCTTTGTTATTCAGAAGTGGCATACGTTTTGAAAGATGCGGTCCTTTTCAATGCCAAATTTCTAACAAATTAAATCAATATGTATTTGTGCAGAAATATAATATATGCAAAATTGTGAAAGTTTTTCTATTCAAAAAACTTTTAAATTTTCGTTGCAGATCAAAAGTTTCGATTAAGATATTAATCAACTCTGTTAGTCAAAGTTAAAAATGTAAAAATTTATGTGAATCAAGCAGTGTGTCATGATAAGATTCAAAGTAAAATTTAAAAACCAATGAAAAAATCAAATCATATGTCAACACACACATTGAAAGTAAAATTAAAATTAACATTAAGTAAATTAATAATGAAATGCTTATAAACATATCAAATAACTTGTGCTTGACAATCACTACATACAATTTTGTCTTTAATGTCAAAACAGAACCAAAACAAGCTATTTAGATTTTTGATTGCTAATAGAAAGAAACTACACACAGACATCATTATCCGTTAGCTTTATCAATTAAACGTAAATATATAAAAGATTTGTCTAAAACATCCGTATCGTTATGCAAATTGAGTTCATTTATTCAATTTTTTATATAAAGTTTCAAAAATACGGCGTTTGTAGTTATAGAATGGTTCTATGACTAAACTATTAATGTTATTCTAGCCAAATTTTTTTTTTCATGAGATAAAGATAATCTATTGTCCGAGTTTTGAGTAGTTTGTTTTTTACATAATTTTTATGTTCTTTAATTCTCGTTTTGAGCATCCTGCCAGTCTGTCCGACGTATAGAGCATTACAAATTGAACACATTACATCTTCTCGTTCTATATTTCGTTTTATATTACTATAATATTCGGAATTAATATAGGAAGAGAAAGATGGTTGGCGAAAAATTGTGCTTGAATTAATTAAAACTTTGTAACACTTGCAAAATAAAATGTTTATCTGTCAATGTTATGTATGTTTTTCGTTGTTACTTGTTTATTACGTATTGATCACTAGATGTCGATTCAGTACGATACGATTTAAATATATCGGCATATATCTGGGAACTCTTCATCGACGCGGACAAAAATAATATGAGAAAAATATCGCTGTCTCTCTTTCAAAACTGAACATTTTATGGGTTTTCAAAAAATTTGATGAAAAAACATAGTAATATATTTTGAATGAATATATATTCAGCAACTCTCCATTATCATTTTATGCGCACATGTCCAAATTGAAAGATAAATTTTTTCGTTTTACGCAATTGTGTTTTCAACAGTTGAGAACAATAATTACAGCGAGACTTTTTCACTAAATTGACCGTTTAATAATATAAAAAACAGATTATCGTATTACTCTCATGATTATATAACACAAAAATGTAGAATCGATATAACAAAACCAATAAAAATTATATCCTCAAGCCGTGCTGGAAATATGCGAGTACATGATTTATAAAAATGCCATATATTGTGTCGTAAGATACGCATAATA